GGACTGATCTCCTGTCAGCAGCACTGCAGTGTGAAGTGTTGACAAGGTCACCCGTGGAGCCTTTGTATTCTGAAAAATAACTATAAAAAACCTGCTGCACTGTTTTCTTAGCACCAGTCTTGGTTCACAAGCAGCACACAGCTGTTTTCACAAGTCTTTCTGGCATACAGAGGCCAAAGTGGATTTTTGCAGCTCTGCCATTACATTATGCTTCAAATGCATCGCTGACACATATCTGACAGTGAGAGCTGTGGCTGCAGTCCCCCAGGTATTCACGTGGGGAGCAGTGCAAGGATTATGGCTGGAAAGGCAGGAATGAAGCAGCATTCCACAACAGAAAATCTTAGCAGTAGACACAAAGTGTATCTTCCCATCGTTCACTGGAATTCTAGGACTGTCTTAGGGGAAAAGACCCTTAAAACCCCTCAGTAAAGTAAAGAGAACCTGACTCAGTGTTCACACTAGAGCAGCCGTTGAAGGGTATTGCCAGGCTTACAAATTCTACTTCTGTCTGTAAATTGTGTATTGAAAAGTTACAGTGTTCTGGATGGAAGTCCAGAAAATCAGTTTTCCAAGTTCATGTTGTAAAATTACCTGCTGTCCTGGATAAGTAGCTGAATTTCTCTTTGTTCTGTGGATCTTTTGCAAAGTAACAGTGTGGGTTTGTTGTTGTTTAAGAGATACAGAATTAGAAGGTAGTGGGACAATCTTATTTTTAGTTCTTTCAAGCTGGTAGGCTCTGAGCTGTTCTTACAGCTGCTTTTCTGACTATTTGCTGCACTTTAAGCCATGATATTGAGTATGTTTATCTCATTTTGCACCTGTGGAAATGGTCTTGAAAGTTACAGCTTGGGTACCTTTGTCAGTGTGTGCCCAGGCAGTAACCAGACACAAACATGTGGATCTAAATGTAAGAGTGCACTTAGAATTTTTTTATCCTTTATTTATACTAACGGTGTTAGGTATTTACCTCAAGCATTTTAAACACTGGTTATTGTATATCACGTATTTAGATATAAAATACTTCCATTAAATAAAATATATTCAATTGTCACTGATTATTTGTTATCTAGAGGCCTAAAATATACTTATTAATTGAAGCATGATCTGTTGTAACTTCAGAAGTCACCTTGGGTCACAGGTGTGTACAGGGCTAAGCTCAGGGGGAGAGAGGGGAACACAGTTATATGACTGCATTTTCCTGGGGCTGTGCAGATGGTAGAAACCCTCCTTTCTGACCTTGCTACCAGCAGGACTGTGATTTTACAGGAGGGAAGGGTCGGAGGAGCTGACCAGTCACTCTGCCTCTCACCCAGTGTTTTGCTGCTTGTGAGTTTTTTTTTCTTTTTCCCTTATTTGTTTTTTTCCAAAATAGTAGGGGTGGGAGGAGGTTACTGAGCAAAGCCACTTGCAGAGTGAATCCTACCTGAGCAACCTTGAGGGAAGAGTGAGGCAGACCACAACACGGTGTGGATTTGAGACTGTAATGAATACTGAGCCCAGGGTTCGTGTTCTTGTCTTGAATCTCTTTGTTCTTCAGCATCCAGCTGTTAGTTATGGCTGTCGTCAAGCAGTGCCCAAGCCTCTGCTAAAACACCCTCTGGATCAGCTAGTTCAAGCTAAATAAAAAGAATACAAATCAGTTTTGCAGTGTAATTGAAGGAGCTTAATTTTTTATAGATCTTGATTACTCGAGCATTAACAGAGTCTCCCCTCGACCAAGACTGCATTTTGCAGCCTTTCAATTACTGCTTCAGAAACAATGACACCTCCCTAATTTTATTAGTGCTGAGCATCACTTCATCTCCTTGAAATGGCTCTGTGTGGAGTGGGCTGATTCTCCTTTAACAAAACACATTCTTGGACAAAACCGACTTTGATTTATAGCCTGTTGGGTCTCACGTGCAGTTTTAAAAGGGAGTGGCAAAAGGTTTGTGAAAACCTGAACTCAAATTTTCTCCCTTTAGCTGTTACTTCCTTCCTATTGTGAGATCCGCAGATCTCTACCGATCAGAAGCACAGTAACTGCGGTGAAAGTTGCTGCTTTCTGTTTGCTCCTAGAGCAGAAGAGAATTGGGTCATCACTTGGTGTTCAGGGAGTTAAATGAACAGTCAGGCTTGAACATCCTGCCTTAGGGTACCAGCACTTCAGCCCGGGCTGTTGGATTGTTGAGGCTGTTCTGGGTCACCTTTCACAAACCATATCAGGTAAATATTTCTAGCCACAGAAGAGCTGCTCCTTTCACTCTTTGCAAAACAGAGGTTGTTTTTCCCTGGTGGGTATTTGGGGGTTTATTATTCTGCACTGCTGTGGATGTGCCTGATGCTTACAGGATTAACAGGCTTGTCAAAACTGTCTGTGCTCAAAGAGCCCTTTGCTCTAGAAACCAGATTTGAAAAAATAGGGGAAGAGAAGATGTAACAGCTGTGAGTTAGGGAAGGCTGCACGTGTCCAGTGACATTTGCAACAGCCTTGTCCCTGGGGCAGGGGAAGGCAAGTGGCTTTACCTGCCACAGGGCTGTGCAATCCCCTGTGTTCCTGGAGCAAAGCAGTTGATGTGGTTATCCAGGCTGGTTCTGCTTGGCTCTAAGCAAAGGGGAACTTCCCCACCCCATTCTGCAGGAACCATCCCCGAGAAATGAGATGCCTCTGTGTTTCGTGTCTGCAGTGTGCAGATCATGGGGGTTCAAGCTGAGACTCTTTTGGCCAGGTGTGTCACTTGGAGCCACATCTGTTCCCTACTGACCTCCATTCCCTGTCCTCCAAGGGCAGAGCAGGCTGTTCTGTCCTGGATTCTTCAAGTGATGTGCAAAGACCCTGGTGGCTGCCAGGTCGATGGTGTCTCACCAGGTCTTTGGGATGGGGACAGGGACTGGTTCTTCCTCTGCAGCTTGTGTCCGTCACCAGAAAAGGGCACTGGAGGATGCTGGTGCTTGGACACTATCTGCCCACCCACTGCACATACCCCTCTGATTTGGGGTGCCCAGGCAAAGGAAAGAGCTGCTCTTGGCCCTGCAGCTGCTCAGGTTTCTGTAGGGTCTGATCAGCTTCAGCTTGGTTAAATCATTGGGTTTTGACACAAATCCCACTATTGTTTTTGCCTCTATTGTCTTGTTTCCTTTGTGCTGCCTCAGGTCTCTGAGCAGTTCTGGTGAATGGGAACTGCATTTTTTCAGCTGTAGGCGTCTGGAGGCTCCAGCAGAGACTGGATGAGCTGTTTGTCCCTAAGGGGCCATTTAGGACACTACTGGCCAAAAGACTCTGAGTGCACACCCTGTGAGTGGGGAACCCCTTGGGGGCCATTGCTTGAAGACTGAAATTCCCAAGCGATTACCTTCGGGATTGGATACTGAGTAGGGGCTGGAGCTTCATCTCTGTTGAAGTCCATCAGGATTCCACACTTTGGTATATCTGCTGCCCAGATGCCTTCTAAGAGCTGTC